CTCCAAAAATTCATCTGGAATAATAAAAGACCCCAAATAGCCACAGCAATCCTGAGAAAGAACAAAGTTGGAGGGATCACAATACCAGATATCAAGCTATATTACTAAGTCACAGTTCTCAAAACTGCCTGGTACTGGCACAATGGAACAGAACAGAGAACCCAGAAATCGACCCAAGCCATTATGCTCAATTAATATCTGACAAAGAATGCAAGAGCATACAATGGAGTCAAGACAGTCTCTTCAATAAATGGTGCTGGGAAATTTGGTCAGATACATGCAAAAAAATGAAACTAGATCACCAACTTATACCATACACAATAACAAACTCAAAATGGCTAAAGGATTTAAATGTAAGACAGGAAGCCATAAAAATCCTACAAGACTCCATAGGCAGCAAAATAGCAGACATAAGTCACAGCAATATCTTTATAGCCACAGCTCCTAGGGCAATAGAGACTAAGGAGAAAAGAAACAAATGGGACTACATCAAAATAAAAAGCTTCTGCACAGCAAAAGAGACCATCAATGAAACAACAAGAAAGCCCACTGCATGGGAGAACATATTTGCCAATGATATTTCAGATAAGGGTTTAATCTCCAAAATTTACAGAGAACTCATACAACTTAACAAAAGGAAGATAATGATCCAATCAAAAACTGGTCAAAGGATCTAAATAGACACTTTCCAAAAGAGGACATAAGGAAGGCCAAGAGACATATGAAAACATGCTCAAAGTCACTAATCATCTGAGAGATGCAAATCAAAATGACAATCAGGTACCATCTCACACCTTTCAGAATGGCTATCATCAATAAATCAACAAATGACAAGTGCTCGTGAGGATGTGGAGAAAAAGGAACCCTCATGCACTGCTGGTGGGAATGCAGGCTGGTGAAGCCACTGTGAAAGACAGTATGGAGTTTCCTCAAAAAGTTAAAAATGAAACTCCCATTTGACCCAGTAATCCCACTTCTAGGACTATATCCCAAGAAAGCAGAAACACCAATCAGAAAGGATATATGAACCCCTGTGTTCATAGCAGCACAATTTACCATAGCTAAGATTTGGAAACAACCTAAGTGCCCATCAGCAGATGAGTGGATTAAGAAACTGTGGTAAATTTACACAATGAAATACTACACCGCTATAAAAAAGAAGGAACTTTTGCCATTTGCAACAGCATGGATGGAACTGGAGAGCATCATGCTAAGCGAAATAAGCTAGTCAGAGAAAGATAAATATCACATGATCTCATTCATATGTGGGATATAATGATCAACATAATTTGATGAACAAGAATAGATCCAGAGACAAATGGCAGGGGATGGGGTGTGGGGAGGGGAGGTGGCTGTTAGAGAGCAAGGAAAGGACTTGTATGCATGCATCCTATCTAATAATAGACAAACATGGTAATTGACCGTACCTCCAACACGCTTCCCATTGGCTAATCAGGGCGATATGCAAATTAACTGCCAACCAAGATGGCGGCCGGCAGCCAGGCAGCTGAAGCGAACAGGAGGCTTGCTTGCTCCAGTGATGGAGGAAGCCAAGGTTCCCCGCCTGCTGCTGCTGGCCTCTGAGCTGCAGTCTAAGAAACAATGTTGCAATTATAGAAGCTAAACAAACCCCAGAAACCTGCTTTCAGCCAGCTGGGCCTCAGAGCTGGAGCTGCAACAGTGTTTCAATTATAGAAGCCAAACAAACCCAGAAGCCTGCTTTCAGCAGCCGAGGTCTCAGAGCTGGAGCCGAGCCTCAGAGCTAAAGCTGGCTCTCAGCTCCAGTGACAGCCATAGAAGGTAAATAAATCCCAGAATAAAAAAAAAAAAGAAAAAAGGGGAGGTTGGGAGCTTCCATCACCCGCCAGCCTGAAAACAGCCCTCAGCCCCTCACCCAGACTGGCCAGGCACCCCAGTGGGGACCCCCACCTTGAAGGGGGTGTGACCAGCTGCAAACAGCCATCATCCCCTCATCTAGGCTGGCCAAGCACCCAAGCGGGACCCCCACCCTGATCTGGGACACCCTTCAGGGCAAACCAGCCAGCCCCCACCTGTGCACCAGGCCTCTATCCTATATAGTAAAAGGGTAATATGAAAACTGACCCTAACAGCAGAAAGACTGGGAATGACTGGTCACTATGACACACACTGACCACCAGGGGGCAGACGCTCAATGCAGGAGCTGCCCTCTGGTGGTCAGGGCGCTCTCACATGGGAGGAGCTCTGCTCAGCCACAAGCCAGGCTGATGGTTGCCAGTACAGCAGTGGTGGTGGGAGCCTCTCCTGCCTCCTCAGCAGTGCTAAGGATGTCTGACTGCAGTTTAGGCCTGCTCCCTGCTGGCAAGTGGACATCCCCTGAGGGCTGCCGGGCTGCCAGAAGGATGTCTGATTGCCATTCTAGGCCCAATCCCCTGGGGAGCAGGCCTAAGCCAGCAGGTGATCATCCCCTGAGGGGTCCCAGACTGAGAGAGGGCACAGGCCGGGCTGAGGGACCCCCCACGAGTGCACAGATTTTTGTGCACCGGGCCTCTAGTATTAGCATAATAAATGGAAACAGACACTGGGGTTGTGGGGGCTTGCCTGGGGTGGGAATGGCTGGGGGGGGGGGGTGAGGTTATAAATTGGGGGAAAAGGAGATATATGTAAAACTTCAGACAATAAAAAAAATTATTAAAAAATAAAAAACCCACAAAAACTAGCAGGATTCAGCCAGGGATGCTGGAAGGCAGGGTTCAGGTGGGATTAGTAGCCAGAAGACATGCACAATAGCCTTTCTGGCATGACAGTCTCAAGGTAGTTGAACTTCTTACATGGCAGCTCAGGGCTAATGGAGAGTTTGTTTTAAGAGACCTCAGTAGAAGATGCAAGGTTCCTTACTGCTTAACCTTGAAAGTTTCAGATATTCTATTTTTGAAAATCCTCATATTCTATTTTCCAAAGCAAGCCATTGAGGTCATCCTTGATTCCAGGAGAGGGGAATTCACCTCTACCTCTCAATGGGAGAAGGGCAAAGAATATAAGGCCGCCTTTTCCACAAATCTAAACCAACTGTTAGGGCACCTAGCGCAGCAACGATCCCCAGACTTGCTGTGTCTGGAATGCTTATGGCGATGGAGAGCATTTACTTCTGCAACGTGTTCTGATCCTCTGCCAATAGAAGATGAATTCAATTCTACTGTTGCCCATTTCTTTTTCAATAAGCCATGATGACCCAAAAGTGTGTGTGTGTGTGTGTGTGTGTGTGTGTGGTGTCTATTATTATTAACTAGTGGCCCGGTGCACAAAATTTGTGCATGGGGGTGATGTGTCCCTTAGCCTGGCCTGCACTCTCTCCAATCTGGGACCCCTCGGGGGATGTCTGACTGCCGGTTTAGGACCAATCCCTCTTGCAATCCAGGACCACTGGCTCCTAACCACTCACCTGCCTGCCTGCCTGATTGCCCCTAACCACTCTGCCTGCTGGCCTGCTCGCCCCCAACGGCCCCCCCCCACCAGCCTGCTCACCCCCAACTGCCCCCCACTGCCAGCCTGCTTGCCCCCAACTGCCCTCCCCTCCTGGCCTGATCGCCCCTAACCACCTCTGCCTCAGCCCCGCCACCATGGCTTTATCCAGAAGGATGTCTGGAAGGTCTCCTGGTCTAATTAGCAGATTACCCTTTTATTAGTATAAATTTCAGAGCTTTTCCAAGTCAAGGATCATGCAAAGTCAGAGCTGCAAGAGACATCAGAGATGAAATCTGTTCATGTTTTATGGATGAGGAAATTTAGGTCTAAAGTAGCTATGTGACCTCTCCCAGGTCAGAAGCTGATTAGGGACAAAGCCACAGCTGGGATCTCCTGCTGCCATGCTAGAAAACAGGAAATCCTGAGTTATGTGCGAAGTGAGCAACCTTTCCCCTAGAAACAGCCCAGCCGGCCTTGATTCAGTACCCTATTTTATCATGAAACATTAAAAAAGCAGCTATTTATTTCAAGTGCACCCATTTAATCTTGCATATCTACCCAATATCTAACCATATTCAACAAATGTTTACTGAGTGCCTACCAAGTTCTGCACATACTATACAGATACTGCTGCTTGGAGAGGCTTTCCTTCTAGTTAGAAGGTCATAATACAAAGTATACAGGAGTCACTTTCCTCTGGACCACTTATTCAATCATGTTATTTTATCTTGGAGTACTTCTATAGCCCTCCCTCTCCCCTTCATATACAGAACAGACCAAGGGGCCAAGGATTTTGAGTTTTTCTGCTACTTCAAATGCCTGTTTTGAGAGGGTGTTAGTAAAAATGTCCACAGATTGATGTGAAGTTGTTATTGCTCCTTTTGTTTCGAGAGACCTTTGCTCATTAGACGAAGTGACAGATAGCTTTGACTTTATTTAGATCACAGGGACTCCAGGTGGCATCCCTGAACACAGTCTTCATGGCTTTGGATTTCCTTTTATATGGCACCTGTTCACCATTAGCTTTTGTCTTTTTCTGCTGCAGCTAATTTACTTTCCTCCTGGACCAGCAGGGAGAAGGGGAAGGGGTGCTTGCTGAGGACTGTGACACCTCCTAGACACCAGGTCCACCCCAGCCCGCCCTCCCAGAGCTGGGCGGGAGTCATCACTCCTTCGGCTCAGCAGGAAGGAACCCCCAGGGCAGGGGTCCCTGCCAGGGAGTGGGAGTGGGGCTGAGGGTGGGAGAGGAAGAGGGAGGATCTGGGAGGAAGGGGATGGATAAGAAGTCAACCCCAATCCACCCCTGGGGACCTCAAAGGCCGAACCAAGGCAGGGCTGGGGCGGCTGGGGGAGGGGGAGTGGCAAGTGAGGTACGTTCCAGGAGCCCTGGGCGGCGGCGCTCCGGCCGGAGTGGGCTGCTCGCTGCCCTGGCTCCGGGTGGGCACCGGCTCCCGCCCAAGGGGAGGAGAAGGAACCAGATGGGCGGGTTCAAGCGTTGGCGGCGGCGGTCCCGGGGCGGCCGGCTCCTCCCCGCGAGTGTGGCTGTCTGCGCTGGCCGCGCCGAGGCAGTGCGGCGCCCGCCGCCGAGGATGCCGCCCAGCGCCCTCGCCGCGGCCGTGCCCCGGCCCTAGCGCGCCGACCGCAGCCCGCGCCCCGCGCCCCGCAGCCCCGCGCCCCGCGCCCGCCGCCGCCTCTTCAATGGGCAACCTGTTCGGCGGGGTCAGCTTCCGCGAGCCCACCACCGTGGAGGACTGCGACTCCACCTGGCAGACGGAGTCGGAGCCGGAGCCGGAGCCGGAGCCCGAGGAGCCGGGGCCGGGCGGCGGCGAGGGCCCCGGGCAGGAGCCCGAGCAGCCCGCGCAGCCCCCGGAGCCCGCCGGCGGGCGGCCCCGCGCCAGTCCCGCGCCGGACCAGGACGCCGAGGCGGCGGGCGCCGAGCAGGTACGCGGCCCCTGGTGGCTTCGGGCTGGGCCGGGGCGCCCTTGCCCCGGGCGCCGGGAGGAAGGACGTCGCGGGCGAGAGGAGCGAGCGCCGAGCTGTCCCCGCGCGGAGGGCAGGGGCACCTGGCGGCTGCTCGTCCTCGGCGGCCAGACCCCTCGGTGCCCCCGGCCGCCCCGCCGCCCCGCGGACCCGGGGGCCTGCGGGGGCCGGGCGCGCCGCGCTGATCGCTGCCGATCTGGGGCCTGATCGCGGGCACGACCAGGAAGTCCTCCAGGCAGAACCCAACTTGAATGAGTGTTTCCGTGGCCTCTGCAGCGCAGCTGGGTGGTGCGAAGGTGGGGTGGGAGGACCCTGTCTAAAACTAGAGGTCTGTGGAAGCCGGTCTCGTGCGTGTTATTGGTGAACATTACCGAGAATAAGGTGGGACCGCAGTTGATCGGCAGCGAGCGCTCTCCCCTCCAGGGGCGTTGACAGCCTGTAAAAGTGCTGTAGAAGGTCCCCATCCGAAGTTAAAACGCCGGGCTTTTACCCCCAAGTAAGGCCTTTCAACGGAGGAGTTCAGGGCTCTCTTCACAAATCTTATTTCACGCAGCGGACTTGTTGATCCAACTGTGCTTAAATCATGTGCCTAATACAATTTGGAGGAGAGGTTAGCAAAGAGATAAACATCCCCTGTACCCTCTGATGCAACAGAAAATAATTCAGAAAACTTTAAAAAGGAGGAACTGCCAGCGGTTCTCAACCTGTGGGTCGCGACCCCTTCACAGGGGTCGTCTAAGACCATCGGAAAACACATATAATTACATATTGTTTTTGTGATTAATCACCATGCTTTAATTATGTTCAATTTGTAACAATGAAATTGGGGGTCACCACAACATGAGGAACTGTATTAAAGGGTCGCGGCATTAGGAAGGTTGAGAACCACTGGTTCTAGCCAAACCTCTGAGGAAGTGTGCCTTGTAGAGGCATCTACTGTTGGCTCTGCATCAGGCCCTCCTCTGGATCAGCGATGGGCAAATGAGAGTGAAAAAATGGAGCCCAAAGAACCACAGGTTCTTCGCTTAAGTAAAGGAATCACCCCCCAAGTACTATAGCGGAGGCTGCCTCATACAGCTTGCTGATGATCTCTGTTTGGGTCAGGAGGAAACATGAAGTCTTAGTGCAAGCTCTATGCTACACAAGCTATTTTCATCAACTGCAATTTTGGGGGTGGAGTGGGAGTTGCTGGTTTTAATTCTCATTTTAGAGAAGACAGGCCTAGAGAGAAGCTTGCTGAGGATCATCTGGAGAGAGAAGGATGTATACCCAAGTATATATATGGCCAGTGTCAGAATCTTAGCCTGCTGGAATTGTGAATATCCCTCTGCCCCTTGGTTCTGGTGTGCTGCTGGGTCATTTTGCACTGCCAATTCAACTCCGGGAAAATACTACATGCTGTATTCTCTGTTTTCCCCTTCCATTTGTCTCCCAACTAAGTAACTGTCTAAAGAATTTTGGGTTATCAAAACACACCAGCAGAGAGTCAATCCAACCATCAGGTCCATCTATAGAAACCAAGTTGATAATTAAGGTTTCAATCAGTTAATTGCAACCCCATAAATGGTAGACCAGCTTTCCCTTTTTTCCTTTAATGATTGGTTTTTCATGTTGGTATCACCACCTAACTTCTAAAAAAAAATCTCCTTTTTAATTTTGCTCTTTGACTAACAAACCCATTTGTTCCCTACTCCACATATTCAATTCATTTGCAAGTACCACTGGCGCTTCCTTTAAAGTATAATTCAGACTGACTACTTTTTGCCACTTCCTAGTCCAGGGGTGGGCAAACTTTTTGACTCGAGGGCCACAATGGGTTCTTAAACTGGACCGGAGGGCCGGAACAAAAGCATGGATGGAGTGTTTGTGTGAACTAATAAAAATTCAAAGTAAACATCATTACATAAAAGGGTACAGTCTTTTTTTTTTTTTAGTTTTATTCATTTCAAATGGGCTGGATCCGGGCGGTAGTTTGCCCACGTCTGTCCTAGTCTAAGTGAATACTTGACAAGTGATGGTGCCATTAACTCAGGTGGGGAAGTCTAGGCAGGAAGCAACTTCAGAGGTTAAATCAGTAATTCTCTTGAGTTCGATACCCTCTGGGACATCCAAGTTGAGTAATTAATTATATCGGTGAATGAAACCCCAGTCCTGGAGTCCTCAGCATATAAGACTGGTGGTATTTAAAGTCATGGGAAGATACTGGTCATCAAGGAGTGATGCAGAAGGAGGACTAAATTGGACACTCCTCAATTTAGAGTGTGTAAAGATGAGGAGGAGCCAAAGAGGGAAACAATGAGGTCCGACGAAAACCTCGGGAGGTGTGGTACCTGAGTGTTTCAGGAAGGAGGGAGGCATTCACTGGCTGGTGCTGCTGGGAGGTTCCTGAATTGAGTACTGAGAAACCATTTGGTAAGATGGGAATTTGTTAGTGACATTCACAGGCGCCGTTTTGATGGAATGCTGAGGATGAAAGCCTGGTTGGGGTAGGTCACGGGAGAAGAGAAGGAAGCAGGGAGTAAGAGCAGCTCTGTGATGTTTTACTATCAAAGGGAGCAGAGCTATGGATCTCTTGTAATCAAAAGGGATTTGGGGCAAGGAGGGTTGTGTATATTTCAGATTAGAAATGCTACAGCATGTTTGATGAGGGGAATGAGCCAGAAAAGAGGGACATTTTGATGATACAGGAACTAGGAACAATATGTTAAGGAACAAAATCCTTGCCAGAGCAGGTGAAAAGGGATGGGATAGAGAGTGCAAAAGGAGCAGGAGTTGGAGGAGCAGGGATGGATGCTGGCAGGTTGGTACATTTAGAAGTTGGAGGCAGCAGTGGTGCTCATGATAAGGCTGGGCATTACGTAGGGCATGAGTCATTACCTTCATTTCACAGATAATAAAACTAAGACTCAGGTAAGTGATTTGCTTAAGGCCTAACAAGTAGCAAGGTTGAGACTCAGCCCAAGTCTCCTGCTTCCAAGTCTTGGGCTGTCGACATTATACCAGAGTTTCTGTAATGACCCTTGATTTTCAGTGGAGCTGAAATTGATTGTACCTAACTAGTTGGACTGGGAGCCCAGAGCATGGGAACTAGTTCCTTTGCTGTCATTGGACTCTGGGTCTGGTTCATCTTCTCTAAGTCTGGGTTACCTTGTTTCTAAGGTAGAAACACTAATAACTGCTAGCCAGGTGCATTAGAAGAATCAGATGAAATAAAATACATGTAAGCACTTTGTAAATGGAAAAGTGCTTTCTATACAAATGTATGCTGATGATTCATATGGTTGTAGCTGAGGCTAAATAGATTCAGAAACTTGCTAGGCAGAGCTCTTTTGGAACTCTGCCTAGCAGTTCCAAAGGCCTAGTGTGGCCAGGACCAGAGTTTAAGCTTTTCCTTGCTTATGTAACATGGCAGAGTAGCTAATGTTAAACATCAGAGAATGTGGTGGTAAAGTGTCTCTGAACTTGTAGTAATAGTGAGAATCACACCACTTCAAAAACATGCAAAAATTGCTTAGACCAGTGGTTCTCAACCTTGGCTGCACATTAGAATCACCTGGGAATCTTTTTAAAATCCTGATTTCTGGGCCTCATCCTCCGGAAATTCTGTTTCTTTGATATAGGGTGGGGCCACAACATTAGTAACAAAGAAACAGAATTTCCGGAGGATGAGGCCCAGAAATCAGGATTTTAAAAAGATGCCCAGGTGATCCTAATGTGCTGCCAAGGTTGAGAACCACTGGCTTAGACGAAGCCAATCTATCAACACAGGTGGGGGTAGGAGATGATGAGAAAAGGACTGGGGGAAAAGCTCTTAATGAATGTTGAGATTTAAACTTTGTCTTCTATTTCATCATTGTCATCAGTCTCATTGTTCTTCTGAGGGATACTGGATATGAAGCACTTTCTTACATATTATAGTGCTACGTTTAGTTTACACATGGGTTGTAAATAAATTACATTGACCTACATCTTATATTTTAAAACTTATTTAATGGTGGTGGAAATTTTCCTTAAAGTATAAACAGTATGAGTTAACTACTACATATAAGTCATTACAGTCTGAAGTTCATTGAGAGCTTTTCATTTCTTTGTGTGTATATATATTTTAAATTTGTTAATTTATATTGCATTGTATTATCACTGAATTAACACATTATTCTTGACTTTGTGTATTTATGATGGTGCTATGAAGGATGGAATTTAGAAAGCTATTTAGTTTGTTTTAAAAGCCTCTTTTTCTTACATAAATATTACTTGATTTCCAAAAGCAGCTAAATATTGCAAAACTAATGACAATTTTCTATGTAGAATTGATTTATTATCTTAACATTTTTTTCAGTATTATGTAAAGTATTCTAAAATAAGTTTTGTCATAGAATCAGTTGTATAACCTATGGTAATGTACTGGTATATGTCTTAAATTCATTTTGAATTCTATTTTGATGGATATTTATCCATAACATTTAGCCTCTGTATACTTTTAGTGAATAATAAAGTTTTTAATTTAGTAAAACTACTTAGGATAAATGTTATTACGTTCAAATCAGGAAGACAAAATGCCAGAAAATGTTATAAGTATTATTAAAAGGACTTTTATAATGTTTTCAGTAATCTAGACAGCTTGACACTTTTTAGGCTTTCTTTATGGATGGTCATTGTTTTAAGTTTGTTCTGGAAATTTCTCAATGAAATTATCTTGTTTCAACATGTGAATGGAATTTCACTTTTTATTTTAGGGTGCTGATTCCACTGAAGCAACTGCCAAACCAAAGAGAAGTTTTTACGCTGCGAGGGATTTGTACAAATACAGACACCAGTACCCAGTAAGATACAGAAATTTTTTTTTTTCTAAATGAATGTAAAATATTCCCCTTCTGTTTTTCTTATTTTGTGGTGCCAGTGAACAAACATTCAAGAAGGGTCGTTGTGCTTTTTTTTAAATATGTGCATATGCTGGAGATTGATTTATTTTTTTCTTTAGCAGAACTTCAAAGATATCCGGTATCAAAATGACTTGAGCAATCTTCGCTTTTATAAGAATAAAATTCCATTTAAGCCAGATGGTGAGTAATCTGTTACTTTGGTAAGAAGCAAAGTCTGAATAATAAGTGTACCTAGTTATTCTTTGTTTATTCCACGGTCAGTACTTTCTCAGTGCATGTGTTCATTGACTGGGTTCACTTCACTGGACAGTCTAATGTGTCTTCACTTCACTGGACAGTCTAATGTGTCTTCACTTCACTGGACAGTCTAATGTGTCCCCAAAGTCCTAGACCCTCAAGTTGTGAGCATCCACTTAGCAAATTCTAGAGGAATCACTGTGGATTAGCAATACCTTCCCACCACCTGTTTACAGTGGCTATTATCTGACAAGTAGTGGAAGCCATTATTGTGAGTGGGAAGGAGAGGACATTTTTAAAACCATAGAAAATTAGGTGATTAGGAACCTTAGAGCTCAAATTCAGCTTCCTCATTTCAAATGTAAGGTCACTAGGTCTTAATTCTTGAATGACTGACTTGTTGAGTTACTCAGTTTTAAGAATTGGGTTTGGGTTCCAGGGTTCAGTATTCTTTTCACTGTGCCATACATGAAAATTATTTAGAACATAATTGAAAAGCGATGTTTATATTAGAATTTCCTATAGACTTCCAGATTCAGGAGTCAGGGAGCTATAGCAGTCCTAGTTCAGTGTTCCAATATCCTGCCGGGGAAGAGAACTGCACATACAGTAGGTCTCCACTCAGCTCTGCAAATAAACTTGCCTCCTTCTTCACAACTCCATAGGTGCCCTCATAGGGTCTTTTCTAAACTGATCATTATAGGAGGATGCAGCCACTATGGTAATATGCATATTTCACTGAGGCACCATGCTATGATTCATGGTGGGACTCCTAATTTTATTCAGCTCAAATCAGCAAAGCTGGCTTTTCTCCTTAGAGCCCTTATCTCTGTGAGGAGACCAAATGGCCCTGGCTCTTGCCCTTTGCTCTCAGTGAAAACTGAGCCAAAACCACAGCAATGTGAGTCAGGAATAAAGGTGATGGATTGTAAAACTTCCCAGTGGTAGGGCCTTGTCTTCTTGGATGAGCTAACTGGAGGAAGGATATCTTAAGCCTGGGTGGAATGTTTGGAGGAGGAATTCCCTGTACCGTGCACTAAGAAACACACCATTTGGGTGTTAGGACTAAGAATTGCTGAAAGGCTAGAACCACTTTAATTTTCTGGTGTCTCAAAAGTCTGTTCTGATTTGGAAGAAAACATCTGGATAAAAATGCCCTGTTGTATTTACTAATTATAAAAACACACTGCTTTATTTACTAATTGAAATAATATTAATTCAGCTATTAGTATTTTTAAAAAAATATATTTTTATTGATTTCAGAGAGGAAAGGAGAGGGAGAGAGAAAGGTAGAAACATCAATGATGAGAGAGAATCATTGATTGGCTGCCTCCTGCACGCCTCCCTGCAATCGGGCATGTGCCCTGACCGGAATGGAACTGTGACCTCCTGGTTCATAGGTGACACTGGCTGGGAAAACTATTAGTATTTTTTTTTTAGGACTTGGGGTAAGACAATTTTTTGAAGAAATGCAATGACAAATTATTAACTTGACTCTGATTTGAACTTAATAAAATTTACCTACAGGAATACCTTTAAATATTAAAAACATTGAACACAGGCCTGGCTGGTGTGGCTTAGTTGATTGAGCATCGGCTCATGCACTGAAAGGTTGCCGGTTCCATTTCCAGTCAGGACACAGACCTGGGTTGCAGGTTTGTTCCCATCAAGGCACATGCAGCTGATAGATGTTTCTCTCACATCGATGTTTCTGCCTCTCATACACTCTCTCTTTCTCTCCCTTCCTCTCTCTAAGCATGTCATGGAGTGAGGATTAAACAAAACAAAACAAAAAATTTTGAATATAGAGATATGACATTATTTAACTGAATTATTTTGATATTTCTAATAGATTTATTTTGGAGATAGTATTTTAAAACAATAAGTAATGCACTCATTTTTTTGTAATCTTTACCAAAAAATTTATTTTGAAATCTTATAAGATAGGTGGGGGTCAGAAATTTTAGCTAAGGTCACATTAAATGTTATTCTATTTTATTATATAAATTATCTCAACTCACACACTTTCCTCTCTAGTATGTGTACGCACATACACACATAATTAAAAAATGATTACATACACTCTTGACAGTAAGCATAAGCCTGCAAGAATGTATTTTACTATTAAAAAGGAGAAGGGGCAGTTGGAAGGGAAAACAAATGGGAAGCTATGGAGGTAGTTGGTTTCAACACGCTGATAAAGCCAACAGAATGATTCAGAAGCAACTTTTTACCAAACCTTTTGAGAGTGGCCCTCTACTAAAAACTGATGATTTCTGGAGGAAACAAAAATGAGATATGTTTAGAGAAATATTACGTTGTTCACTTTTCTATAAAATTGACTAAATGGCCCATTCGTCCACTGAAAGGAACTTGACAGATAATTGGGAGGTTTTGGTTATAATAAGTTCCTATAGGGGAACTATAGAATGTGACCAAGAGGACTTACTTTTTGAAACAAGAAAGACCTGTGTTCTATTTCTACATTTATTCTTTTATTAGTGTGTGACTTTGAATAAATCACACACTTTCCTCATTAGTAAAATGGAGATAATAACACTGATTTGGGAGAGTTTTGCAAAGATTAAGGTAGATGATGTACACTAGACATAACATGGGCCCAACATATGGTAGATACTCAACACCTTTTTCTTTTTCAATTTTTTGGTTAATCCTCACCAGAGGACATTTTTTCCATTTATTTTTAGAGAAGGTGGAAGGGAGGGAGGGAGGGAGGGAGGGAGGAAGGAAGGAAGAGAGAGAGAGAGACGTAGACATGGATTGGTTGGCTCCAGCAAGTGCCTCCACCAGGGCTAGGGATCGAACCTGCAACCCAGAGGGCAGACCAATACGCTAACCACTTAGACATATACTGGCCATGGCTCAACACCTTTTTCTTTCAATATGTTTTTATTGATTTTAGAGAGAGAAGAAGGGAGAGGGAGAGAGAGAGAAACATCGATGTGAGAAAGATTGATCAGTTGCACCCCATAAACCTGGCTATCTGCCCTGACCCAAAATCGAACCTGTGACCTTTCAGTGTAGGGGAAAATGCTCCAACCAACTCAGCCACACCAGCCAGGGCTTTCTTTCATTTTTTATTCCTCCTTTTCCTTGCTTCTCTCCATCTCTTTCTCTTCCTCCTTCTTTTCTTTCTTTTTCCCTGGGATTCATCTCAATTTGACCCTATCTAGTATTTCAAGAACTATAAGACCCTTTAGGGCAGGGATTGGTAAATATTTTCTGTGCAGGGCCAGATAGTAAATATTTTCAGCTTTTTGGGCCATATGGTCTCTGTTGCAACTATTAAACTCTATTGTTCTGGTGTAAAATACATAAATGAATGTTATTCATTTGTGCATGGCTGTGTTCCAATAAAACTGTTTATAATACAGATGCCAACTCTATTGTAGAAAGTTCAATAGAACTTTCTGCAATTTGAGGTATCACTTTTTAAAAAATTAGGCCTGTTATGTAACTCAGTGTATGGCATAGGGAATTCATTTTTTAAAAGCTATATCCTTGTGGGCTGTTATTAATATTTAAAAACGTCTAATATAAAGCTTAAGTGGTTAAATTTTAAAATGCCTTCAACAATGTTTTCAGCGTCTGGTTCACTTTCTGAATATTTACTGTTCAGGTGTTTACATTGAAGAGGTTCTCAATAAGTGGAAAGGAGATTATGAGAAGCTGGAGCACAACCACACTTACATCCAATGGTCAGTTTCCTCTCCTCTGTCATGAACCGAGCCCTATTTAATCATGTATGTTTTCCAGACAACGTTAATATACAAATATTATTTTTCTGAAAAACAGGCTTTTCCCCTTGAGAGAACAAGGCTTGAACTTTTATGCTAAAGAACTAACTACATATGAAATTGAGGTAATGTAAGCTCATTTTATTTTATATGAGATGGCCAAGTGATATTGCTACTTTATTGACCTGGTAACTACTGAATCTTTTCAGCTGCCTTTTTCTTTTCATTAGGAATTCAAAAAAACAAAAGAGGCAATTAGAAGATTTATCCTGGCTTATAGAATGATGTTAGAATTTTTTGGAATAAAGCTGATTGATAAAACTGGAAATGTTGTTCGGGCTTTGAACTGGCAGGAAAGGTTCCAGCACCTGAATGAGTAAGTGAAGCCCCTGCTGTACATCAGGGCCACCATGTTGCTTTCCTTCCCTTGGTTGGAATTCTCCGTGGAACCCGGGAATTCCCAGAGGAACAATGAGCAGATGGACCCAGGAATTTGAATTCAAAAGCTGGTCTGAAATGCATTTTATTTCCTGTTCTATATTCTAAAACAAAACAAAACAACAAAATTCCAAGTAGAAATATGGCTGTTTTGCTTCAGAGCTGTTTATTCCTGAAACAGCTCCACTGCCCACAGCTAGTGGCCTCCTTCCCTTTTTATGACTTGTTTCTGGTCATTTATGGCTACTGTTTGTGTACAGTTTTCCGAATCCCCTCTACGAGGTTGTGAGCTTCATGGGGCATAGCCTGTTCCTCAAGCTTAGCGCCTTCTTGGATTAAATCCATGAACTGGGCCTATGACACAAAAATCATTTTATAAGACTGAGATAGTCTCATATACAAAAAAAAAAAAAATTCAAAGAGGGAAATTAGAATCTTTTCTGTTTAGGTAAAAAACAAAAGGCCACTTTTGGTTCATGAATCTCAAACCCTTTGAAGGACATTTTAACAGTTTATTTGGAATCGATTTGCTATATTCTTTTGCTTAGATATTTGTAACTTTCATTAATACTTTTACCCAAAGTTTATTTTTCTTAATATTTTCTTTACATGCAAACTGCCTTATTTTTCCTTTTTAATTATAGAGTGGCTTATGAGTGCTGGACTATAAAACCAACAGCTTGAAAGCACTTGTTTAGCATGTTATAATTAACTGATCCTGGCAGGTACTAAGAGGAAAAATAATTAAAACTACCTAATAAATTTTTCTTTGTCCAAAACAAATCAGAATTTTGTGCATCAGTTAACTAAAATTGTTGTATATTTCTAGAAAGTTCATCTCACTTTAGTAAAATAAGTATTAATGTTTAAGCCTTTCTTTTACTTTATTTATTTTTATTTATTTATTTTAGAGAGGAAGAGAGGGAGGGAGGGAGGGAGAGACAGACATCGACTTATTCTTCCACTTATTTATACATTCATTAGTTGATTCTTGTATGTGCCCTGACTGGGAATTGAACCCACAACCTTGGAGTATGGGGACAACAGTGTAACCAGCTGAACTACCCGACCAGGGCTCTTTTACTTTTTTTAGTTATAATCAACACTATTAAAATGGTGACTTGTACTAAAATACTGAAGAAAAGGGCATAAAGCTTTATGATCCTGATTAAGAAGACCCATTCACTCATAACTAAAGTTAAATTTGATTTAGGCACTTAAAGCATAAGTATGTAAGTCTCTGCCTAAGCAATGCTGGTAGCTATCTCAAGACAGTTTCTAAGCTCTTATGTCATATTGTCAAAGAAAGCTGTATGCAACTAGCCTATTGACAGGAAGGATTGCGGAAGTAAATCTTTGGAGAGGACGGGTCGTATCTCATCTTTCATGTACTCATGTTTATCATTTTAGAGAATCTCTGCCTCCAATTTGTTTTTGGTTGGAATAGCAATCTTGTTTAGCAAATGTTTGTTGAATGAATAAATGATGAACAGCATATGTTTGTCAGCTTAAATCCTCCTGGGGTTATACTGTCAGACCTCTAATTGATAGCTGGAAACAGAGCCCTTCTGAAGGTTTTAGTTAAATGATTTCCTGGGGTTAATCAGGGGAGGGGAGCCTGACCTGGCTGCCATGTGCTCCCTCTCTGCCCCCCCCCCCCCCCATGCAGCTTTGTTACTTTCCACCACCCATTGTCTCTTTTTCCTTCCCCTGGCGATTGCATAGAGCTTTTCCAGCTGTGAGTGAATTGCCTTAAAATCTTCCAGAAAACAACTTTCCTTTGAGGTTTAGTTGCTAAAAATTTATATTGACTAGATTTGAACAAATTACAGGGGACTCTAGGAAGACTTCTATTTTGTTTTTTTTTCTTCAGTTGGTTTCTTTTCTGATTTATTCTTAAATGTCATAACTTATTTTCGTTTTAATCTATATGACATCTTGAGTTTTTTAGAGTAGACAAGGAATTCAATATTTATTTATAAGAGCCCAGCCGACAAAAATATTGAATGAAAGTGAAATGAAATAATGTTCAGTGAACAAGTGGCCATGGCTAGAAGAGGTGAAATATTTTCAAACATGACAGTACAGATATGTAAACCAATCACTAAGATGTATTTCCAATTTTATTTGTAATCACCTTAGATGACTGAGTCATATTTTAGACTCTGGAATCTCCTCTAACTTCTATTTTCTGTTTCCTCGTCCTTGCCTTTTGTGTATTCTCTCTTCACTTGCTTGGTCTTCTTGAAGAAGTCCTTACCTCTGTCTAGAAGCCCAGCCTCTCTTGTTTATCAGCTGTATTACCCCAAAGACTACACACAGGATTAGGAGGATTTTAGCTACTTTTCTTTCTTCCATTTTGTGTTTATTTGTGATATTTATTTCAAATCATACTGAAACACCTAATTTCTTTCTTGTATAATTTTGTTCCATCATCCTGATCTTTATTCTCTTCAACCTAAGTTTTTGTCCTTTTCTACTGTTACATAAATATTTTTAATTGGAGAGTGTGTAGATATAAATGTATACATAAAATTTATTTTGGCCATTCATCTTGGACCAGATATATGAAATTGAGCTGTTGGCAAATATAGTAAATTTTGTTGTGTCATATAATTCATTAGGATTTAAAAAAATATTCTTTCACTTTCCCATACTTCTCTTTATTGTAGATATATGAGGCAGATGTTGCTCAAGAGTTTTGTCACTAAGTTTTTAGATTATACAGAATCTATATTAACCTAACAACTCAGATGCGCCACTAATGGCAAATTGGCCTAACTTCACCCAAATTTATATTGCTCCCAAATACACTTACTTCCTATTAAAAAGTACAGATTCATAAGGCTGAAACGTGCTTTACCTTTTGCCTTCAAAGAGTTGGATGTTAAGATAATACTTTTTTGGTAAACAACTGGAAGGATGGTGACCATAAAAACTGCTGGACTTATCTTTTCCAGTGTTTGGTTAGCTCAAATCCTTAAGACTTTTGTCCAAACAAACTCTCTCATTAAACTATGAGACCATGGAACTACTCCCTTGCTTCCCTCAAATAATTCATTAACATCCTTCTCATTCTTCCCAAATAGTTTGCTAGTTATTCCTAAGTGAAATCCTCGAAGCATGTTTGGAAGCCAGGACAGGTATATGCAATGCTTGTAACAAGTAGTTTCTGAGGTATAAAGTAGGTTTTAGGAAGTTAGAAGTAAGTGATGGGATGGTTGTGTTACAATATTGTGTAAACAAATATCTGGGCTGTTGATGACAGTACATGATTAATATATGTAGCTGAAGATTCCTTTTGGATGCAGCCAGGCATGTGTAATAAGGCAACTATTGGGCTGAGTGAAGTGGGGGAGGAAGATTATGAATTGTGACAAAATAGAATTGGGAAGCTTTCATCTGATAATGGCCTTAGTAGGGGGACAGGAGAAAGATGATAGTGCAATCTGGGAGAAAGGGCATCTTTGAAGTCAATGTCATTGGAAGGAAAATTTAAAATTCTTTGATAGGGAAAGAGGAGGAGAGAGAGGCCAAGCATGGAAGAGAATTGAGTTACTAAGTTGGGGTAGGTACAAATATGGTAGTCCTTAATACCAGATATTTAAATAATAACAATAATAATATTAAATAGTACCTATTATTTATTGAGTTCTACATGGCTTACATATTTATCAACTGATTAAATTGTTGCAAGTGAAGTCCAGCAAATGAGGATATGAGCCTTAGGGAGCCATCGTCATTTCTTGTAGCTGTAAGTGTTCTGCTAAATTAGTCAGTGTTGCATCTTTTGTTAGAAGTATTCTAGCAGGATAGAGTGCTTTTTTGCATTTTTCCTTATGAGTTGGCTGATATGGTAGATTTTGCTGAACAGTTGATACTGCAAATCATACTGCTGAGTTAATAGCTAATATTGTGTTTAGGTTCAGCACTGGTTACCTGTGACAGGTACAGTACATTGCTGTTGCAAATAAATACTCTTGCAGATCACTTATCCTCAGCGTATTTAAGAAACAACATCATCAGTGGAAATAAATTTTAATCTAAATTTTTCAAATTTGATGAACTTAAGAAATAAGGAGAATATACATTATATGTTTGAGTTTCACATAACTGACATTGCATTGAGGTATAAGGATTTCATACCTTCTAATTTGTTTTTCTTAATGGTGTCTCTACAAGTCATTACAAGGCTTATTTCCATAAAAAACATTTTCCCAGTAGTTTTTATTTCCCTGCTTTCCTCCACCTGATTTCCTCAGCCCCTCATTTTATTCAATCCTCTCTTTTAGGTCCCAGCACAACTATTTAAGAATCACCCGTATTCTTAAAAGCCTTGGTGAGCTTGGATATGAAAGTTTTAAATCTCCTCTTGTAAAATTTATTCTTCACGAAGCTCTTGTGGAAAATACTATTCCCAATATTAAGCAGAGCGCGCTGGAGTATTTTGTTTATACCATTAGAGACAGAAGAGAAAGGAGGAAGCTCCTGCGTTTCGCCCAGAAACATTACACGCCTTCAGAGAATTTTATCTGGGGACCGCCTCGGAAGGAAGACGCAGAAGGAAGCAAAGCCCAGAAAATGCCTGCCCCTTCCGTCCCCAGCCCTAACAGTCAAACTTCTATGCACAAAAAACCTAAGGACTCCAAAACTTCCTCCTCAGCTGCTCCTGTAAATAGCAAAACAGCTGAAGACAAAAAAGCGGCGCCTGAAGAGCCTGGGGCAGTGACAGACAGGCCCTGCGCAGAGCCCAGCAGCACAGCCGCCAGGCCAGGGGACGCAGAGGATGGGAATGCTGAAAATTCAAATTCTCAACCAGAAGAAGCAATGAATGATCCCACAGAGAAAACTGAGAGTGCATCTCCTCCCGAAAAAGATGATGAAGGTAAAAATCATAACAAAGACTGTGGAAGTTCTGGAAATACAGGTTCCCAGGATGAGGTACTGTTTCAGTGAATTATCAGAAACCCACAAACCAGTTTAGGGAGAGGAGGCGGAAACTGCTGTACAGTTTATCCAAAAGAACAGAGGTCACAGTTCAAATTTTGGCCATCTGTTTGTGATTTATGTTGTAAGCATTTTGTTGTTTTTTTATTCTGGATGATATTAAGTTTAATCAGATGTTTAAGACAAGACCCAGTAAATGAATGTATTCAGTAACACTTTTAGGATGTGAGTTTACAAATTCTGTGTACAATAATTATTTTATAATTATTTTCATGTATCTGGAAATATTGGTGCAGTACTTGGGATATCAAATAAATTATTTTGAGAGGTTACAGTCTACTTGAAGAAAACCAAGAGGATAATTTCATTATGTTGCCACACCTTTGCCTGTTTTATGGATTCCTTTGTTTTTTTTTTTAGCTGGAAGAATCTAGGAGTAATTTGGATTTTTAATCAGAAAGTAATTTGGATTGTTTTCATTACAATACCTCAGCATATTTATTTTAGATGAAATGTATGCTCTTGGGGAGCTGTAACCCCCCCACACCCCACCACTCATTTGTCAGTCTTGCTGTCTTTTCCTGTCCCCTCTCTGCACTCACCTGCACCCACTATCTTGTCAGCCAGCAGCTGCGTTTCTGTTGTACATTCCGATGAACTCCTCCTGTATTGAAACTTAAATGGAACAGAACAGGACTTTCAACTGTATGATTTCAAGAATTTGCTTTGCTTGAAATAATAAAAATGTTTTTCTGTATTAAGTGCTTAAACATTTTTTTTGATGCAAAAGTCCAAGAAAAGAATTTTGCCTTCTGTGGCTGTTCCCTACAAATTTGGTGCTTTGTTTCTGAATGTAAATGAGTAAGGAATTTAAAACTAAGAAAGGAAATTATTTTTAAAAGGCATGGCAACAAGGCAGTGGTCCCTAAAACCATGAATATCTCAGTGTTATGAGGATTACAAAATTAACAATATTGCTTATAGTGTATTTTTAAATTATTTATTTATTTAAATCCTCATCCAAGCTGGGGGAGAGCACCATCGATGTGAGAGAAAAATATCTGGAGATTGAACTCACAACCCTAGGTATGTGCCCTGACAGAGAACTGAACCGACAACCTTTAGGTGCACAGGAGATGCTCAACCAACTGAGCCACTCCGGCCGGGCATGCATCTTTTTAAAAAGAATTACAATTTGATGCATCTTTAAGTTGTCAAACCTTGAAATTGAGAACCGATTTGAAATTCCATATACTCAGTTGTAGTAAACGCGTAATGTGTTAATATTGGTTAAGAGCAAATGCTGTTTCTTATAATATTTTAACATTATTATTACACATCAGGAAAAATCATAAACACTGTGGTGAGAACGTCAAAGTATGCATACATATATAGTGAAAGCAATGAATAGAAAATACTTTTATTTAGAAAGGAACTGGCTTTTGTGTGTCTCTTCAGCTTTTAATAAAAGTTCTATTCACTTTAACCCCCAGAGAATGTTTACTATGTCACATTTTCAATCACATCATATATCATCTGTTCCATTTATTGATCAGAGGATTTTAAGTAGAGCATTTCTGGAAAATAAACACACCAGCAGTATGCCTTTACAAATATGATTTTATTGCTTTGAAGTTTACATGAAACATCACATTACTCAATCTTGACTTTGTTTATATGAATGTTAGTAACACTCGGTTTGTATACCATATTCTAATAAATATAGAACATTTATGATTTTTGGTTTCCAAAATATGCCAATTTTTGCTTCCTTGTGATTTTGAGAAGTGATTTTTAGGATTTGGGGAAACAATTCTGCGTTTACATTTCAATTTCTTTTTTACATGAACCCTTGAAGGTGGTGCTTGTTGAAGCAATGTCTCCATAGAGTTCAGTAATCAATTTTGTAGGGTTAGCAGGTGAGAATAGCTTGTCATGTTGGACTGAATTATAGGAATACAATTAATTGAATTCAAAATATCTTATCAATTTGACATACATAATAAAGTCTTCAGACTGTTTTTTAGGTGCATAATGTTAAGAACTTGTGACCAGATATTAAGATAGTAAAAAGTGGACAGATACTAAAATAAATGGGTATCATAAATTACTTAGAAACTATATGTAGTATGTCAGAACCCTTAGATGTAAAAACATTTTATTCAGTGATTTAACTTTCAGAATATTATTCCTAATTAGGGGTTTATTTAGAATGTGCCATTTAATTTGAGAACACCTTGTCTCAAAGGAAAAACTGCCTAGCTTCCATTGAAAACAGTGGCCCTTTCCCACCATGTTTTATTTTAAATGCATATTCACATGTAACAGTATGATTCCTACATTTAATCTGTGAGTAACTTATGAAAGAGTTATTCGGTGGAGAATAATGGAGAGGATATTATTTACTTTGCAAATAAAAATTATGAGTGTCTAGACTTTTTCCTATTAAGAATAATACTTTTACATTTGATAATTTTTAAAAAAAGATCTATAGATATGTATTTATGTGTGTCTTACATATGAAACAACCCTTTGGGTTTGACTGATGTTTTGTATCTTTAAAAAGTACCATCTGCTTACAGAAATTTACTGAGAAGCTGTTATAAAAATGCAGTGAAGCATGGCCAAATAGCTAGAAACATTATTGAATTTTTTGCAAATATATAAACTTTATTGTTGAACCTTGGACTGTAAGGATACTAAATATTGGCTATTGATAAAATACTAACTTGCATTTCACGGCAAATCGATGTTATACTGCTTGATTAGTCCAGTGCATTTCTAATATTTTGTGCTTTTATATCTCTAAGGAGATGATATGTGAAAATACTTCGAAATATTGTAAAGTGATAAAGTTATAAGGTATATGTCAATACAGTAAAGGTTTAAACATTAAGAACATTGTGCCCTTATATATTTTCATGCTTGATCTCATAAGAAATTCAAAAGAATCACAATAAAAGCGAAACTATGTCTGCTTTTATCTAAATCAGGTCTAGTTCTCAGTTCAAAAAGTACTTTGTATAGTTTTATTTTAAATTTAGTTTTTCAGACTACTTATTTGCAGCTGCAAGAAGAAAATAAAACCTACAACTCAGGATTATTAGAGAAGTTCTAAGATTTTTTGCTTAGTATTAAAAATATAAAATATGAAAATGCTGTACATAGCACCTGTCACGGTCATTATGTTTCCTATTTTGTGGTATACAGTGACCAACTTTGCTTTTAGCTTTTATACTTTAATCTGAGTGAAAGCATTGTCTGGTGAAAAAGGAAAAACAGTCTAGTGTTACATGTGAGTTATTCTTCAAAAAATCATTTTAGTAAGTAAACTTTCACATCAAGTGGTTAAAATGGATTGGACTGATGGGATAGAGACTATTTGGTTAATTGTTTAAAGTTAAATTTCTGAAGTTTGTAGTAGAGTTATGGCTGAGTTTATGATCTACCGAGTAACCAAATCAAGAATAATTTTGGTCTTTTAGAGTTGAGGCTCTTCTAACCTGAGAAAGGGGGCATCCTTGATCCTGCTGGATTGGGGTTGGAATCAGCGGGCCTTCCATGTCTCTTGGGGGTGAATAGGGCTCTTTTGTTAGAGGAATAGTTTTGAAGATTTCTATTTTGTTTCCCACTTAGAAAATCCCCCTTTCTCTTTTGGGGTGTATGTGTATACCAGGCGGCAGGAGTTAGACATGCTAGAATCATTTCAAGTGTAGGTGTAGTTGTAGAGAATGATGGCCTGGGATAACGTATGATTGAGAAAGTTAAGGAGTGAACATATATTGACTTCTTTCAACTTGGAATTCTGTAGTGTTTATTACAGGAACAGATGTGTGTGGGTAATCTCTAGGGTGACAGCAAGTACTACCCTGCTTCCTTCCATGTTCTAGTTTTCCAGCCTACCCAGCAGATTGTGTTCAGGGACAGACTGTTTTTAGAAACCTCTTATTACTGAAGTCAATACAGTTATACAGGTGAATGTCTGGAGATGCCCAGATGTGCCTTAACTAACGCAAATGGTTTTCATTCACAAGTCTAAATTTTTACTCCATTAGAAAATCTTGCCATAAGGAACTTTCCATGAATATCAATTATTTTAATTAATTTACTTTGGTGCTTTTTCATTTTGGAGAAATTTTCATTTGTAAAGTAGCATCAGTTCACAAGGAACTGTACTCGCCACAATGTTCAACAACATGTTATATTTGACAAAAGGTATTTATAGTAAAATAGCTTAACTATATTATTTCATTTATTTATGGTTTTGCTTAATTTTGTTACATACTATACTTTTCATTTTAAATATCTCTCCGTTCCTACAAGTAATTTCTGTGTTTTACTTCCTGTTTTTAGATGCAGATGGATGCAGATAATTGAATTCTTAGAGAAATTATTTAAAATTTACTTCCAGTAGGTGGTTGGAGGAACCTGAAATTAATTTTTAAAACTTTTATGCCATAGTCTAATTAGAAATGTTTACAAAGCATTGTTCCTGCCTTTTTCCTAGATTAGAGAGAATGTTCTTTGTCATCTCCTGTTTTCCTGATCTGTTGAAAAACTTACTGTTTTAGTTATTTGTGGGAAAGAACTTAGTAAGTTTGTCTTCCTGAATTGAAGTTTCTATGTACAGGATACAATTAATTGCTTTGTTTTATGGACCGAACTCTGCCTGGAAGTAGAGTTCAGAGGAGAGGTGACTGAGAACCTGAGTGGGCATCTTGGCGAAGTGGAGCCAGCACTGCCTGCATCCTCTCCAATAGCATGACGGGTCCTAGAGCCAACCCTGCACAATGAGGCTGTGGGGCCTCATGACCTCTGACTTCTGAGGAAGGTGGGCCATTGTGGGCTCCATACACCACTATAATAAGCATACGTTTTCATAAAATATCTGTTATTCATTTGCCACCATTTTATAGTTCAGAAAATTGTGAGCAATTGGACACGAGCTATATAAATTATAGCTGTATCCTTATACCTATCTTAGGAAACATATTGTAATACCAATTCCACATAGGCATTTTCCCAGTTTTTCAATTAGAAATTATTTTAGATTGTTCTTTCATATATATATATACTAGAGGCCCGTTGCAGGAACATTCCTGCAAGAATAGGGCTTCCTGTGGCTGGAGCAAAGCAGAGAAGGGAGCGAAACTCGCTGAGGAGGGCTTCGCTCCAGCTTCAAGCCCCTGCAGCTGGTCTTGCCCTCCTGCTCCAAGCCCTGGCCCTTATGCTCCCAAGCCACAGTGGTTGGGTTTGCCCTCCCGATCCCAGTCTCTGGGGCTGGGCTTGCCCTCCCGCTCCCATCCCCTGTGGCTGGGCTTGCCCTCCCGCCCCCAGTAGCTGGGGCTGGGCTTGACCTCCCGCCCCCAGTAGCTGGGGCTGGGCTTGCCCTCCCGCTCCCATCCGCTGGAGCTGGGCTTGCCCTCCTGCTCTCAGTTGCTGGGGCTGGGCTTGCCCTCCCACTCCCAGTAGCTGGGGCTGGGCTTGCCCTCCCGATCCCAGTAGCTGGGGCTGGGCTTGCCCTCCCACTCCCAGCCGCTGCCCCTTCCCCTCCAAGCCGCTGCCCCTCCCGCTCACAGCGGCTGCGGCTCCGTTTCTGTCCTCGTGGCCTCTACTTGGCTCCCATCTGTACTGCTTGGCCTCCATGTTGTCGTCAGTCTTCGCTCGCAGCTAGTATATGCAAATTAACCGCCACCTTTTAGTTTCTATAACTGAAACATTGTATCTTTTGGAGCTGTTGCTTCAGGAGCTCAGAGGCCTG